GCAGTGAAAATGAAACTTTTACGATTGAGATTTCTAATGACAAAAAGTATGAATTGCTCAAACATATGGTAAAAAAACGCTTAGCACCTTTATTTGATTCCATTCCTTCTACTCAAATCACCCTTCGTTCATCCGCTAATGGTCCGATTTATAAACCAATGGTTAGAATTTCTAAAGACTTCGCTGATAGCCCTGATGAAAATGGCCTTCATATTTACGTAGACCCTCCAAGAAATTAATTTTTTTTTAATTTATATTTTTATTAAATAGTAATTTTTTTTATTTGTATTCGCACCTATAACAGCGATTATTTTTTTTTATTTGTATAATGTTGTTCCGGCAACAATTCTTTATTTAATAAAGAAGGGGTTGGTGACCCTACCATTTTTTATTATTATGCGATTGTGGATGCGGAATCAGCCACCAGGGTCATGGAGAATATATATCTACTGTCATTGCGACAATTTTTAAAATATTTATTCTGATAGGTATTGTTTATTGATGCAAAAGTAAATTACAAAGCTACAACATGAATTATATTATTTTTTTCTCGCTTACAGCGTTTTAAATATACCTATGTGAACTTTGAAGTTAGAATTAGGAGTTTTGGGTCCATCATATTGTGCAGTTTTATCCATTTTGTCCAAAAGTGTGACCATCTCTTTTAATCTCTGCTGAAAATTATATAATACTTTAAATAAGTTTTGCGTTTCACACAATAAGTTTGGTCCCGCTTCGATTGGTAAAATAACATTTTCTACACTTCTAACTCGGTAAAAGGGATAAAATTCATAATCCATAATTGAAAATGTTAAGTTGTAACCTAATAATTTATTTATATAAGTGGATTGAAAATAAAATAAAATAACGAAATGTTTGCAGTACCATGAGATTGTAGAAAAAATAAATTAACTTCTCCGTTAAATGACCTCTCATCAAAATCATGTTTATATTTAAAATAAGAAATTTCCCAATTTCATTAATCGAATTCGATTTTCTTCTATATGGGTGACATTATTCGGTCTGTTAGGTCCATATGAGGTTTCTCCAAAAAAAAGTTCATATCTAAACCTTTTGTTATCAATAATTTGGTGACTGGGGAAATAACTATAGAAATCGCCTTTTTTTTGTAGACCTCTTTCATGTACGGTAGACAATATTACTCCATTATCCTAAAAAAAAATAAGAAAAAAGCCTTAATAGTGTAGAAAAAATTCTGCCACAATATACTTAAATAACAAATTTTACCCATTGGTAGGTTAATCTTTCAATATCATTAAGCAAAAATTCAATAATTGGATTAATAATCTGATGGTTCCATGTACTCTCCAAGATAATATCATCATTACATATAACCTGTGACCTTCTAAATCGGTAGGACGAACTAAAAGAAAAAGAACATTTAAATGTAGAAATATTCATCTCTCATAATTTTACAATAAATAGTATTTTTATTCAACATATTTACAAGCTATATAACAGTGCTCGTATAGCACGATACATTTTTAATTCTTCCTTAAAGATTGGATCATAAAATTTATCTGATATTCGATCATCATCGTTTGTCACAATACACCGTATATAATTAGTATAATCTTCAGGAACCTCCTCAAGATATATTTCTTTGTTTACGCTATCCCATAATTTTCTTTCAATAAGGTGAGATTTCAACTGTACCGGGATAGAGCGAAGGTCAATTATCCCGGATAAGAGAGGATCATCTTTTTTTAAATCCATATAATATATAGTTTCACAAATGCATTTGGCCGTTTCGTTCATTTCACAATCCTTTAACTGAAATAGGAAATAAATCAGTCTATTGATGAAATTATGACTAGATCAAAACGAAACTTACGTTTTTTATATTATTTAATGCGTTTCTAACATTTGTATTTATGCCTTCAACATTTGCATAACTTTCAATAGAATACTCGTTACTATAATTATACTTATCAACTATTTCGAGAATTCTTTGATATATTTTGTCAGTCCTAGGTTCCTCTTTCATAACCTGAATCTCATTCGTAATTCCTTCCCAAAATGGTTTGACTTTTTTTCTCTATTTATGAAGATTATTTTAGAAAAATAATTAATAGAATATCATCAAAACTCAATCTGTTATAAATAAATACTATAATTTTCAGAATTTGCCCAAGTGTCTAATAAAATTTGCCGAGGATATAAACTTGAAAAGGAGGTGAGTTGTTTGTCTATTAAGCGCTACTACACCTCAGTGAAGAAATATTTAAAGACAACAAAGCCACTCCAATTCGAAAAAAAGTTCTATAACCTATAAACGCTACTACACCTCAGTGAAGAAATATTTAAAGATCTGTAAATTTTTTCTTTTTAACCCATTAATTGCTATTACACCTCAGCGAAAAAAATATTAAGGATCCAACAAAATCAATTTCAAAAAGAAAGTCTTATCTAAGAAGCTTTTGTCTAACCAGTTAAACGCTTCTACACCGCAGTGAAGAAATGTTTAAAGGCCCGACAAAATCACAGACTTTTGCAGTTTCATCATAGATATAATAGATACCAGGTGTATAAATATATTATTCATACCATATTGTCCGTTATACTTGTATTCGTATGAATCGAATAAAACTCATGCAAATGCTTTTTTATAGTTATCACATCTTCACGAATACTAACGTGACCGAAGGCAAAACTACATAATACAAATACAAAGAATTTGTCGGGTGAGCTTATTTCTTTTCTTTCAAGGTTATCTATAATTTTTTTTATTAAAATTTCATTTCTCATTTTTCATCTCCGAAAGTTATCTTGGTGTTACACCTCTGGTGATCACTCTTTTAAATAGCACATTGGCGTTGGGAATACTTTCATCAGACAGGTTTTTTACATATATAAAGAACTTAGTTGCTCAGTCATGAGATGATTAACCAAATTTAGGTTAGGGTGCTTATTTCCACACAAATGAGTTATGTATGTTGTAAGTGGGAATGGGATTAAGTGGATTCGGAATTTCCAAGTTAAATTAAGGTTAGGGTAAGGGTGTATATA